TTTCTTTCTTACCGGACGTATATCCATGAAAAGAATCCAACCCAATATGAGTGAAGTTGTGGGTTGGATCCTTACCATGGAAATACGTCCCCATGACGTTAAAATATGGGACACAGTTAAGTTTGTTACACATGTTTTGAAAAGGATAGCCAAATATTAAACAAATAGAGAAGGAATCACATCAGCCTGTACATTCATGTTGCAAAATTGTCTATCCCTCAAGACGTAATGTTTTTGCGTTGGTAGAGGCATATTAATGTCTAGCAGTTAAAACGAGTTCAAAAAAGTAGGATGACAAATAACATCTTCATAGCAGAATTTTCCAACTGGCTCTTGGTAATGGCCATGGTTATGTACTTACTTATTATAACAAGATGCTTTTATGCTTAACTTCTTCACGGCTCTATACTTGTTAATATCTACAGTGAACAACTACTATTATACTAAGCCTAAAACCAGTAAAAACCTCGTTCTAACATACTCTTCGGTGTAAATAATGCCAAGAGTGGAATTCAGAGGGAAAGATTGCTCCGTACCGCCTCGTCTCGCTTATTTTTATTTGAATTCCAGCACTGTTTATATTCAAAGCAGTTCATACAAAGTTTCGGTTTCCTCCTGCAATAACGTAATCTTTTTTGTGAAATTATTTTCCGTGGGACATCCGAATACCTTTCCGTACAAAATTTATTTAGAATATACTATTATTTACGTAGTTATAATATTACTAGTACAGAGGGAAGCGGTTTCGGCGAAATATAGAGAGAATATAAAAGTAAGATATCCAATTTGGGAAAAACACAAATATTTTTATTTATCAAGAGGTGGTTCACGCTAATAACACAGGGAAAATGTATATTTTCTATTATGGATATTTACTTAAGTTAAATTTTGTATAAAGAGAATAAATAAATAGAGTAGGTAATTAGGTATATAAGGTTTTACGTTATTCTCGTTTGTTTCATTATTTTAAACGAGTCTACACTCAACCAATTTTGAAAATTCTTACACCAGAAACAATGAAATACATTATTCCTGATTGACTTGAACTATTGTTTTTCTGTACGATCTGTACCTCTATTACGAAAAACTTTCGAGTTCGTTTCGTTTGCGTATTCAAAGTGCCATCGAAAAATTTTGTATGAAAAATTAAACAGCGCCCCCTATATTATAGCCGCCCTAGGGGGCAAACGAAACGAACTCGAAAGTTTTTCGTAATAGAGGTACTGCTGGTAAAAGTCGCGGGAAGAGCCTGGTTGCGGGCAGCGCAGGACCGTGCATTGTGGAAATCCTTGGAGGAGGCCTTTGTCCAGCAGTGGACGTCATTTGGCTGAAACGATGACGACGACGATTGTTTTTCTATAACAGAGGGAAACTCAAGTCGATGAAGCTCCAGAAAAAAGCTACTCGTATTTTTGAGATAATCGAGTATTTAGGGAAGAAATTATTCAATAAGTTATTAAGAGCACGAGCAAGAGTCCTAGCGTGTGATATTTGGAAGTAATAAAGCTAATTAAAGGGTTCTTATGAAGCTGTTTTTAGTTTATATCTAGGAGTTTGCAAAGGGTTGTCTAATTAAAAATTAAAAGATCATAAAACGTCGTTTTAATAATCGACACATCGTCACCATCCATCGAACGACACGTCACATCCAAAGTCTGAAGCTGGCGTACAGACGGCCCATTAGAATATACCTTTTATTGCAAAATAACTCCTATCACAAACATAATAAGAAGCTAGTGTTGCGCCTGAAGTGCTCTCGGCTGTATTTTTACGAGGTCACATAAAACAATTTCGTTTTTACGCGCTGAAAACACTCGCCTTTTCAGCCAGGCTTTCAGTTACAGGAGTACACGTCGCGGCTAAATCACGCAATCAGACGTTTTGGTAAGAGCCTGGCTATCAACAGTGCCTAATAAGAATGGCCACAAATGTTGAATGGCCTCTTTTTCTTACCTGATACCTACTCTTTTTTATGGCTTCTTTCTCCTATTTATTTGAAAAATACTATTATGTCATACAACGCCACTCTTATGTAATTGTAGCGGAGTTTTGGGCTGACGCTGTGTGTTTGTTGTCGACACGACAAGAAGAATAAGATTGGACATATATTTTGATGATTGGCAGACATTTCTTTTATAGAAGTTTATTTCAGACTAGCGGCCGCCCGCGACTTCGTACGCGTGGATTTGGTTTTACCCCCCCCCCCCCTTCATCTATCTTACGCGGTTCAGATTTTTTCATACAATTTTTTTTCCCGCTAACTCCCGTTCCCATGGGAATTTTGCAATATCCTGTTGTAAATAAGCTTTAAATTTACTANATTTACAATTCTCAATCAGTAAATAATTTCTTCTTTCTACCGTGTTCGTACTACTGTCCTCGTAAAATCATCGTAACCGATTGTTGTAATCGGATTACATGAACATCACTCGACCATGTATGTCCATTTGGACATATCGGAATGGCACGCTTTGATGATCAACTTGCTGTATCTACTCTAATCCATATCTGTGATCAATACAATCAAGCAGTCATGTAATGTCAACAAATTTGACATAACTTTTTTTTAATGACGTTCTCACTGCTTTAAGATATGTGTTTTAGCCGAATTAATAGCAGAAATGAACGAGATTGAACGAATGAGCTAAAATATTTCAAGGTTGGCCAACATAATTATTGGGTAGTTTACTTATAAATAATATAAGTGGGTAGCAAGCAATCTTTGTATGTCAACTAGTTCAGAAATAAATCTTGTAGTGCACACACGCGTCTCATTTAAATCCCAAAAGACTGGTACATAATAGTGGCGACAGGACTGGGTTTTAAGTGCATTACATTAATAATATTATTTAAAAAAAAAAATCGGTCGGNCAGACGGACAGACGGACATGACGAAACTATAAGGGTTCCGTTTTTGCCATTTTGGCTACGGAACCCTAAAAAATTGACATATTAATGATTTAAATAGTTATTATTTGTTCTCTGTTCTTGAGTTTAACTCATATTATTCGAAAAAATTTTAGATGCGCCTTTTTTACTATCGCGGGCAGAACTAGGGCCTGCTGGTAACCGTGATCTTCGATGTTCAATTGTTTCGAAGTAGATATTACTAAAAATTTAAAGCAGTTAACTGATATAATATGTAACATTTAAGCGTTTCGATGACTCTTTTATAATGCGAACAGGCTAGGGACTGGAATTCGCTGCCTGCTGCTGTCATTCCCGAAGACTATAATGCGGGTCTTTTCAAGGCGAGAGTGAAAAGACACTTACAAGGCAAATAATGTACCATCCTAGACTGCATGTCTGCATCCCACTTAACATCAGGTGCGATTGTGGTCAAATACCTGCCTTGTTATGCACAAAAAAGTCCCTGCTTTCTACAAACTTTTTTCAGCCGATAGTATAGTTGGGCTGTTAATCAGTATGAGCATGTATGAAAGAGCGCACCGCACATTACACTGATTTGGTATCTGCTAATTCCTTAAACAAATTATCGGCAGAAGCGGACTAAATCGGCCGACAAAAGGTTTGTAGTCTATATTTAAAGTCTAGAAACAAAACAAGACATAATCATACCTTGTTTTGTTTAATAAATGCGAATTTTAACCCAAATGTGTCGGATTGCTATATACTAATAATATTGTAGTGCATAATAATAGCACAGCCCATTACCGCTTGCATGGCACTGATAATAAGTTTTATAATTGCTTCTTATCGACAAGTCACGAACATAAATACATCTATATATATAAAAATGAAACCCGTTTCGCGTTGTCACGGCATCACGTGTGAACGGCTGAACCGATTTCGATAATTCTTTTTTTTTAATGTTTGTGGAAGTCCAAGGATGGTTCTTACGGAAAAAAATATTAAGAAAATCTCTACGCTAAGGCGGTACGAAGTTCGCCGGGTCAGCTAGTTCAATATAAATGTTTACTACAGGGTTGAACAAAGTTTCGTGCAGCCAAATAATGTAATAATTAGGTACCTACTTAGACAATGATGCTTAGCTATTTTTAGACTAACTAAATTCGTATACGAAGAGAAAAAGCTTTAATTACTTTAAGCCAAAATTAACGCGAGGTTGAATCAAACCACAAAGTTACTTAAAGAAAATATAGCGAGCAAAATTAGTCACGCGAAAGACGTAATGTTACTAATATACTTAATCCCTACAACATACAATGAAGACAAATTACAAAGCCTTGATGTGTACATCTCTTTCGTGCGGTACTGTAATTATCTAGCTCCATTACAAGATATTACCCTAACAGGCATAAATTTGCACTGATATACTCCAGACACTGAGCTGATAATTTAGTATTAGAACAACAGACATTACGTCCACTCAGAACTTATTGAGACATGATAGGCGTCGTATTAGAGCGGATTGCATTATTAATATTGTCATTGCTCACGAACGACTTCAGTGATAGTGTTCTAGCTGTGCCCGAAGACGCAAAACTGAACTTTACGCAGCTGGCAATAAAGTACGGTCAAGTGGTTGAAGAACATATCGTGATAACTGAGGATGGGTATATTCTCAAACTGTTCCATATACCAGGAGACAAAACTCGACCGGTATTGCTCATATCTGGAAACATGGGGACAGCAGACGAGTATATCGTGAGAGGGAATACGTCTCTAGCTGTGTCTTTAGCAGAATTCAACTATGATGTATGGATAGGCAACAAAAGGGGGACCAAGTACTCCAGAAACCACGTGTCACTTAATCCTGATGTCGATGCCGCATTCTGGGATTTCAGTTTCCACGAGTACGGAATATATGATATGGCTGCTTTCATTGACTACATTTTGGACAAGATCAAACAGAAACAAGTGAATGTCATAGGATATTCAGTCGGAACTAGTGTGTTTTACGTTCTAGGGTCAGAGAGACCTGAATATAATAAAAAAGTGAGGTTAATGATATCATTGGCCCCAATAGCGTATCTGTATTATTGGGTAGTTTACTTATAAATAATATAAGTGGGTAGCAAGCAAACTTTGTATGTCAACCAGTTCGGAAATAAATCTTGTAGTGCACACACGCGTCTCATTTAAATCCCAAAAGACTGGTACATAATAGTGGCGACAGGACTGGGTTTTAAGTGCATTACATTAATAATATTATTTTAAAAATGTCGGTCGGAAAATTGGGCGAGTTTAATGTGGAAAGTGGAAATTGGCAGTTATATTGTGATCGGTTACAAATGTACTTTCTGGTGAACAATGTGGACGATAAGTTACAGTTACCAACATTAATCTCAATCGTGGGTGAAGCCGCATACGAACTCATGGTTAATTTGTGCTCACCTAAAAAACCAGCGGAAAAAACTTATAAGGAAGTGGTGGAACTAATGTCTACGCATTTACAACCTACCCCGTCAATGTTAGCGGAGAGGTTTAAGTTTCGCCAATATAGACAATGTGAAGGCCAATCTATTGCTCAATTTGTGGAACAGTTAAAGAAATTATCGCGTTTTTGTGACTTTGGGACCGAACTCGACAGTAATATGCGGGACCAGTTTGTGTGCGGGCTGTGCAGTGACGGTATTAGACAACGGCTGTTTGTGGAAAAAAAATTGACTTTCTCAACGGCAACGGCGATCGCGTTATCGTTAGAGGCGGCGGAACGGGACGCTTTGGCAGTTGAAACTACCGGCGTTAATTTTATAAAAAAACCGCCGGTGAGAAGAACAACGGGGTGTTGTGTGGCCTGTGGAGATTTTCGACATAAGGTGGAAAACTGTAAATTTCGGGACTATGTGTGCAGTCGGTGCAAAAATGTAGGACATTTGCGGCGAATGTGCTCGTTGGCGGAGGTAAACGACGGTGACCGTAAAACGACCTTTAACGGCTCGTTTACGTCATCGAGAGGCGGCGGCCGAGCGGGCGCTCGGAGCACCTACCGGGGCCGCGGTGCAGCACGGGGCGGCGGAAGACAATTCTACATGGGACAAGCCACGGAGAACAAGTCATCGACGGCGGCGGCGGGTCGGTCGGACTCGCGGGACACCGGGAACCGGCAGGGTGACGTCACGGGCATGTCGACCGAATATGTCCAGGACGATGAAGCGGACCAGGAGAGTGGTGACTATGAAGAACCCATGTTCCAGATGTCCTTAGCAAAGTATAGACCGGTGAGCGTTCTTGTAAAAATTAATGGAATTTTAATTAATATGGAAATAGATACGGGATCGGCAATTTCATGTATTAATGATAAAGTGTATAAACAAAAATTTATAAATGTACCTTTACAGTCATGCCAATTAGTTTTAACATTCTACGATGGAAGTAACATAAAACCGTTAGGTTTCATAAGTGTTGATGTACAATGTCAGGGCGTTACAAAAAAGCTAGATTTATATGTAATAAATAAAGGTACAACTAGTTTATTAGGCCGACAGTGGTTAGCCGAGCTGGAGATGTCTGTACCTAAAATTTGTATAAATACAATTAGTACACCTTTAATGGACGGTTGGAACAAAAATGAATTTGTTAAAAATCTCAATTACAGATTTAAAGAAGTGTTTGAACCCGGACTCGGGTGTTTCACGGGAGGGCGAGCGAGCCTGCGGCTGCGGGCGGGGGCGGAGCCGGTGTTCTGCCGCGCGCGGCCGCTGCCGTACGCGCTGCGCGAGCGCGTCGACGCCGAGCTCGACGCCATGCTGGCCAGCGGCGTCATCGAGCCCGTGGAGCACTCCGACTGGGCCACTCCTCTGGTAATCGTACACAAGCCGGATGGTTCTTTACGTCTCTGTGCAGATTTTAAAACTACTTTAAACAGGGTTTTGTTGGTAGATAAATATCCAGTTCCGAAAATAGAAGACTTATTTACTCTTTTAAATGGCAGTCAATATTTTACAAAAATTGACTTATCACAAGCGTACAATCAAGTTTTGTTAGATGACAGTAAAGAAAATGATTGTACAGGTCTAACGGTCATTAATACGCATAAAGGTTTGTTCAAATATAAAAGATTAGTGTACGGACTAGCGTCTAGCCCAGGTATATTCCAAAGAATAATGACTAATCTGTTTAGAGAGCTACCAAACGTAACTGTGTTCTTAGATGATATCCTGATTTCAAATACTACTAGAATAGACCACGAAAAAAGCATAGAAAAAGTCTTTAAAATATTAAAGGAAAATGGGTTAAAGATAAAGAAACAGAAGTGTGAATTTTTTTCTCACCAAGTAAAATATTTAGGTTACGTAATAGATAGGGACGGTGTGCGAGTAGATCCAAGTAAACTGGAACCAATAATCCAGATGACAGCACCTACAACCGTGTCGGAATTGAAATCTTTTCTAGGAATGGTCAATTTTTACGGTAAATTCATTAAAAATTTAAGCGTTTATCTGGCTCCTCTGTTTGACTTGTTAAAGAAAAATAACAGATGGTCATGGGGTAGTACCGAGCAAAGAGTTTTTGAAAAGGTGAAGGGCCTGTTGAAAAGCGCGGGCGTGCTGGCACACTACGACGCGTCGCGCGCCGCGGTGCTGACGTGCGACGCCGGCCCGCGCGGGCTGGGCGCCGTGCTGGCGCAGCGCGCCGCCGACGGCCGCGAGCGCGTCGTGGCCTACGCCTCGCGCGCGCTCACCCCAGCGGAGCTCAATTATAGCCAAATCCACAAGGAAGCCTTGGCCATAGTATTCGCGGTGAAGAAATTTCACCAATATCTTTATGGTAGGAAATTTACACTTCGGACCGACCATAAACCGCTCGTGAGCATATTCGGTCCGAATTTAGGCATACCTAACATGACAGCGAGTAGATTACAACGGTGGGCCATTATTTTATCAGCTTATGACTTTTCCATAGAGTACATTAAATCAGAGGAGAATACGGCGGACGCACTTTCACGTTTAATAGCCGCACACAAGGAAAGCCGTGATAGTTCAGGGGACAGGGATATAGAACAAACTTATCTACACTTCGCTACCGAAGCATTATTATTGAGTAACGAAACTATAAAAAAAGAAACGCAAAAAGACCCATTATTAGGTAGAATTATAAGTTACATACAAGATGGTTGGCCTGCCGATGTTGATATTAAAGAACTTAAACCATATTTTAATAGGAAGTCGGAACTATACCTAGAAATGGGTTGCATTATGTGGGGACATCGTTTAGTAATCCCTAATGTCTGCAGAGACAAAGTATTGAGAGAACTGCATGACACACATACAGGTATAGTTAAAATGAAAAGCCTGGCCAGGAGCTACGTGTGGTGGCCCGGGCTGGACGAGGCCATCGAGCGCCAGTGCGGCGCGTGCGGCGTGTGCGCGGCGCTGAGCGGCGCGCCGCCGGCGCACGCGCCCCGCTCGTGGCCCTGGCCCACACGCCCTTGGTCTAGGATTCACATAGATTTTTTAGGGCCTATAGCAGGTATGAAATTCTTGGTAATTATAGATGCAACATCTAAATGGATAGAATGTTTTAAGATGGATCATACCACGGCCAGTAAAGTAATAGAAAGACTGAGAGACACTTTTGCTAGGTTTGGTTTACCAAAACAAATAGTCAGTGACAATGGGCCACCGTTCTCGAGTTCCGAATTTTCACAATTTTGTAATAATAATGGAATAGATCATATATTTACAGCTCCGTATCATCCTTCTTCAAATGGAGCCGCAGAGAACGCAGTAAAAGTATGTAAAAGAGTAATTAAAAAAGCAATTATGACTCGCATGGACGTAGACACAGCTTTGTATAGGTTTTTATTAATGGGTTCACTACTCCATTTCGAAAAACTTCTCGTCGAATAACAATTCATCGATGACACTTCGTCGAAAATATAATATGTCGAACGATAAATTAATCGACCGCTTAACATTTCGAAGAACATTTGATCGATGCTACACTTCATCGAAAGACTTTCTACCGATGATANAATCAGACCACGGCCAGTAAAGTAATAGAAAGACTGAGAGACACTTTTGCTAGGTTTGGTTTACCAAAACAAATAGTCAGTGACAATGGGCCACCGTTTTCGAGTTCCGAATTTTCACAATTTTGTAATAATAATGGAATAGATCATATATTTACAGCTCCGTATCATCCTTCTTCAAATGGAGCCGCAGAGAACGCAGTAAAAGTATGTAAAAGAGTAATTAAAAAAGCAATTATGACTCGCATGGACGTAGACACAGCTTTGTATAGGTTTTTATTAATATATAGGAACACCTCTCACAATACTACGGGAGACAGTCCGGCTAAACTGTTGTTAGGTCGAAATTTACGTACTAGACTAGACTGTCTCAAACCGGATCGCGAGAAAAGAATTGGAAAATTACAAGAAAAACAAGAAAATAGTGCGGGAGGAGTGAGTAGGGAAGTTAAGGTAGGTGAGGAAGTATGGTTTAAAAACTATAATGACGATGTACAATGGAAAAAGGGTAAGGTCATAGAAAAGTTAGGCGATACCGATTATCGTATCAGTTTAAAGGACGGACAATGTATACATAGACATATTGATCAACTAAAAATATGTAAGGGGTTTGGTGGATCTGCACAGGACGATAAAGTAACACAAAGTAAGGAACAGAGAAACCCCGGTTGGTTGTGGTTGCCGGGGGCTGGACCGGCGGAGTGCTCCGCGGCCGGCCCGGGCTCGGCCGCGCCGGCTCCGCGCCCGCCTGCCCCTCAGCTCGCTCCAAGGAGGTATCCTCTCAGAGAGCGACACCCTCCAACACGATATGGCTTTGAATAATCCTTATTGTATGTATTTTAGTTAAGAACTAAGTAGTTTAGTTATTAAGAAATTGTTTTGTGACTGGCTCCTCTTAGATATGTTTACTGTAAATGTACCTAAATGTATTACTTATTAATAAATATAGACCGACTTATCTTTATGTATACCATTCAAGTACACACGGAGTCCAGTCACGACACTAGAAAACATGTAAGACATATCTGATAACGAAAAAGGTTACTGTACTTTAATTAAATATAATCTCTAGAATAGTTAGTAAATAAGGGTGGAGGTATTGGGTAGTTTACTTATAAATAATATAAGTGGGTAGCAAGCAAACTTTGTATGTCAACCAGTTCGGAAATAAATCTTGTAGTGCACACACGCGTCTCATTTAAATCCCAAAAGACTGGTACATAATATGTATAATTCCTTTACGCTTTCTGCTGTGAATCGTCTTGCACCGATCTACAATCAGTTTCTTCTGGCAACAGGACAAGAAGAAATCAATGGGGAAAATTCCACAAATATACGGTTCATAAGAAGAGTATGTGCAACTCCGTTATCAGCTTACTATATTTGTTTAAAGTTGGGATTCTTTCCTCTAGCGGGATATGATAGTGAGGAAATTGAAGCTACTTTTGCCCCTGTTCTATTTGGCCACTATCCTTCTTCATTATCGAGAAAGAATTTGATGCATTTATCTCAAGTTGTCAACAGTAAAAGGTTCCCAAAATATGACTATGGTGTCGATGAAAATCTTGCAAGATATGGAGCTGAATCTCCTGCAGATTACGACTTGAGTTCTGTCACAATGAAAGTAGTTCTGATATCGGGGAAGAACGATTTGCTGTCAACTTTGGCAGATGTAGAACTACTAAAGGCCAGATTGCCTAATGCTGACCATATCATTTTAGAACCGGAAAAATTCAACCACTTGGATTTTGCTTGGGGCAGGAATACGCACAAAGTTTTGTTTCCATATATTTTTGAGCTACTGAATTAAAAAGTGAAATAGGTTTTTCTATGCGATTGGACAATTGCAACCATTGTGAATACTCCTGATGTATTTATACAAAACGAAACATGCTAACAGAACTCGCACTTGACTGGTTTTATAAACTTAGTTTAAGTATTTTATTAACTTAGTTTAATCTTACATTTCTATTTACTGGTGATTCCAGTCTCTAATTTCCGTGTTGTGGCTTAGAATTGAAGTTATATTTTGTGACCGAATGTTTTTATGAAATGGCGCTATGGCAGCTCATTAGATGCATGTCCGTTGATTTATTAGAGGTGTCATCGAGCGTATCTTTACACGATTTAATTAGATAATAAACGATTTAATTACCAACACAATGTTTTTATTAATGCATTATTCCAATCGATGTAGAGTCGCGGTGCCCAGTGAGCGGAACGTCTACGCTTTCTGCTTTCGACCAACCAGTGGTGCGCTCCTGAATCGCGGTATCAAAGTTTTTAGTCCTCTTTTCTACATATAGTATTTTCTTGGCTGAGCTCTCGGGGAGTCCGTTGCTACCGAGAAGACCGGCATTGGCGAGGGCCGGACTCAAGTCTCGCTGATTACAATTAACAAATTGATATTGGTAGAGCGGCCCTGGTTCTTAGTGTAAGGTGATTATGGATGAATGTTCGAGAGCTAATAACCTCCCTCTTCTTCGTCAAGTAGCAAGATTGACTTCCTTTTTGCACGGCTAAGGATTAATCTTATAGTGATATGATTAGTTATTAGTTTTATGATATTTTTCCTTTTCGTATTTACCGAGATGTCCCGCATAATTGACGACACCGTGACGATAATGTGAGCAGCTTAGCCAGATCCAAATCTTAGCAGTTCAAAGGAAAAAGTATGTCTTTGTACTGTAACCACAGTGTTGTGTTTGCTAAGAGGATAGATTAGAGACATTTTTTTGTATACTAGCGTTTTACACCCTTAGGGGTGAAGTTTCGTGAAGTCCGTTCTTAGTGAGCACCTACGTCAGGAACCCCCATGCAAAATGTCATTTCCTACTTATCAATTAAATCAAATGTGCACCTAGTTGTCTTGAGATTTATAGTGTAACTAACGAATTTATAAGTAGAATGAATGATGAATAAGTAATTTCAAACCATCCTCATAACCACTTTTGGAGATACCAGAGAAATTACCAACTTTGATAGCCGTTAAAGCCAACCTCAAATAGGACCCATTGAGGGGACTCCAGGAGTTGGTTGAAATTAAATATAAATTATTAAGCGGACATTAGCTTGAAATAGGGACCCGCATCCAGTGGCGAATAAAGTGACAGGGGACACCACAAATGAGCTGGCCGTTTAATAAATTACATATCCATGTTGGCTTTTAGAGGGCCCTTGGTTGTGTGGTGTGTATGCCTTATTAATAGCTTTACACGCGAAAAAAGGATATTATTACGGGCTATTTGTTTGTGAGAAAAGTATTAATGTAGACGTAATTAAATCTTATTTTCAAGCTATTTGATTTTTATAAGGTTTTATTTTGCTCTTATTGACTTGTTACTTATTCAATAGTTGATATTTCCACTTCATCAACATTATTACGTTCCAAACTAAAAGAACCTAACCAATTCACTTATTTCCTCAAGTAAACTAGCTGTTTCCGCAATATCGCATGCGTGGAAATCGTTTCCTTGTCAGTCATTTGGTTTTCTAACCTCTCAAATAACGTAAATAAAATCCACTCAATGTCATACTTATCAAACAGATTACTTTTTCCAAAATCAGCTCACACTCGTAACCTTATAGCTACAAAATAGATCTTCTTCTTGTCGTGTCGACAGCAAACCTACACAGTGTCAGCCCAAGACTCCGCTTCAAGAGTGGCGTTGTCAGTAACCTTCATTAAATATTCCTGCGTGCAGTTGTTTGGGCACACAGGGCACGATATCATGTGTTACAAAATAGATAGTAACAGAAGACAATCACCTGTATGTACATACATATACTTCATTTTGCATACGCACATAGACGCATTACTCGCGCGCGGGTGGCATTCACGCTCGCACTGGTTTAGACTGGTTGCGAAACTTCGCGCGATTTGTGGCGTGATAGTGTCCGTGAGTTTTGTCTATGTGTGCGCTGCCCAAGCGCACCTTGTAAGTATTTGATTGTCTTCCACTCCTATTTTAAGGTATAGCGTACCTATGCCCCACCTACAACCATGTGGCGATACGACGCCATATACTTATGTTTCGTGCGTCACAATTACCTACAACAAATGAATACGCCTTCGCACTCCAGCGCTGATTTCTTCAGCATCCTGGCCCCATAAAAATATCAATAAACATAACCTAGAGTGGTCTTAATCGCAACCCTTGCAGGATCCCGCTGTATTAAGGTTTCGTACGTTTTGCGGTAAACGCATCGTAAAACTGTACTTTTACGAGTACCAAAGATTTACTGTGCCTCCAGGTTTATTAGGAAGGGTAATACGTGTTTTAGCGTTGATGCCCTTAATGGGGGGGATAAGGTCCCGTTACTTCTAATTTGGGGGTATGAAAAAAGGTTACGTCAATATGAGGTTGTACTGTGACGTAGGTGGCGTAGTGTATTGACGGTCATCTGGCGTACAGTCGGCGTTAATAGTTCGTGATTTCTAAAGTCGCGAAAAGTGCGCAACACGGTTTTGTTACAGCTGGAATAAGGAAGTTTATACACTCTTTGGTCACTTTGGGTGTCACCTACCGTCGCGGGTTCGATACCCGCACATTTTTGTATAATCTATACTTCTATACTAGTCTAGGTATACTAATATTATGAATGCGCAAGTAACTCTGTCTGTCTGTCTGTCTTGCTTACACGCCTAAACCACTGACCCATTTTGATAAAATTTGTCATAGAGATAGTTTGAGTCCCGGGAAAGGACATAGAATAGTTTTTATCCGGTTTTTGAAACAGGGACGCTCGCAATAAAGTTTTTCTGTGACAGACAAAATTCCACGCGGGCGAAGCCGCGGGCGGAAAGCTAGTATTTTCTATAAAACGACCACACTCTAGTTATATGATACGCAAGTTTACCCATAAGTTGAGAGCACCTGCATAACCTGCATTATAGCTCTAACGTTTAATTAAATGAAGTTATTATCAATATTTATGATCACCTTCATTATATTCATAATGGAGTTTTTAATCTATCTCAAAGATTTTATGCGCCAAGTTTCGTTATTCATTACGGATAGTAATAGCCTTTTTAATATATTCACGTATCGTAAACTGATTCATATTAGTTCAGACCAGACAACACATAAAATTATAACATCTTGATACAAAATCGCTTCTAGATGCTACAGTCTTTAGTTTGACGCGCCCACTATCACGTAATAGACAAAGAGCTAGTGAACACCAGACCTTTTTGACCGCCTCTGTGGTCTAGTGGTAAGACCACCTGCTTTAGACGCAGAGGTCCCGGGTTCGATTCCCAGCGGGGGCAGATTTTTCTGTTCGGTTTGGTTGGTGGTAGGGCTTGTTCTAAGTCCGCCTGGCTAGCTACCACCATCTCACCTAAGTCTGTCGCCATAACAACAATGTTAACAGCATTGTTGTGTTCCGGCAGTTAGAGGTAAGATAGCAGTTCCTCCGTGGTTGAGGATTCCGGGTGAAGTTCGCTTCCACCTTCGGCCTGATCATCACTTACCATCAGGTGAGATACAGGCCAAGAGCTTCCTCGTTGTGGATAAAAAAAATTAAAAAAAAACCCTACATCTATACCTACTAATATTATAAATGCGAAAGTAACTTTGTCCGTCTGTGTCTGTCTTGCTTTTACGACTAAACCACTGAACCGCTTTTGATGAAAAGCATAGAGATAGTTTGAGTCCCTGGAAAGGACATAGGATAGTTTTTATCCCGGTTTTTGAAACAGGGACGCGCGCGATAAAGTTTTTCTGTGACAGACAAAATTCCACGCGGAGGAAGCCGCGGGCGGAAAGCTAGTTGTCTATAAACTATTGAGGATTTTATTCCTAATATGTTTTAGGCTACTTACAATATTTTGAGAATTGTCATCGTGAAAAAAGAAGTTATAGGGAGAGCCTTAACTACAAGTAGTTTATATTTATACTTATTAACTTTTATATCACATAAATATAAACCTATAATTCCATGCTGAACTTCAATTTACCAATAAATTGGCTAGTTAAGGTCTAAAAAGATAAGAAAATGTGTATTTGGTCGGCTAACTCTGCCAATTATTCCCTAAACTGTATTTAAGGTACAGGCTCGATATTTCATTAGATCTTGAAATTAGTTTCTGAATAGATAGCCGTAAGATAATAATAATATGAGA